CACAGTAAAAATTTTTAACAAATTTTGACATTCTTTTTTTCATGATGTCGATAAGTGCTGTGTGTTAATAGTTGTACGCCATTCGAAATCGAAGCTAAGCAAACATTGGACGAACTTAATAAAATTTTGTAACTTTCAGCGTTTTATAACTATTGTTTATTTTAACTACCATTTTTCTAACACTTCATATAGTAGAATAGAATTAGATTTTCGATTTGAAAAATTGCTTCTGTCGCAAAAAAAATTTGGGTGGTAGTTAAGCGGTTTCAGAACAAATCTCATTAGTTTTAGCCTCTAAACTTTGTCAGCTAACGGCCCAAAAAAATGGTAATAATGGCCAAAAATGGTTGTTCACGTCTAGGACAGAACTAGAAAGTCGGACAAAAAAGATGCGTAATTTCGAGACGAAGAAAATATGCTCCAGTGGGATAAAATCGGTCCAGCCATTTTTCGCAACTTCGAAAAATGTGCCACGTCGAACGGTTTCTTCGAAAATTCATAACTCGCGTATTCCTTAAAATATTGAGATTTAAAAATTAGTTACAAGGTATATCTTGTAGAAAGTTACTCTACAACCTACCTATACGTCATTCCGCTTAAACTTTCGGATGTACCCGAAAAATATATATCAAAAATTTGCTATTTTCCGCAGACGCGGTGGCGCGGCAAGCCGCTCGCAAACTCCTATATGATGGGGATGGAGGGCATGGCCTACGGCTTGCCGCGCCGCCGCATCCGCGGAAAATAGCCAGTTTTTGACGTAAATTTTTCGCGTACATCCGAGATGTCAAACGGAACGACGTTTTAGTTGGTTGTAAAGGCTTTGAAGATAATTTACTAAAACTGCAAAAAAAATAATAAAGTTTTTTTTAGTTCGATAGAAATTTTTTACACGGAAAATGTTGGTTACGCTGGTTAAATTACGTCAATCAAAATTAAGTAAAGTCAGCGCTGTTTTGCAAAAATTTAGCAATATTTTTGTTAACAAAAAAGAAGTATTATTGTGTTTACAACACTTTTACTACAAATTATTACTTTAGAATACAAAAAACTGCCCTTACTGTCCTTATACATGACAAAATTTAAGCATTTCTTTGTCAATACTGCATTAATGGTAAAAATTTACTTTTTTACTTTAATTGTTTCTTTTGACACACGCTTATGAGGAACGGAAAGAATGTATCATTTTTGTTTTTGTTGAGGCAACTTGAAAAAAAAGTAATAATAATAATAAGAAACAATAATAATAAAAGAATTTGAGTTTTCATACGTGGTAGCGCATGTCGTCAGGGCAAGCACCAAGCCCGAAGGACTTTTTGTGCTTCCCCTAATAAGATGCGCACCAGGTGTAAACTCTGCTATTATTAAATTATCCGAAAATTATTCACTTTATTGTATTAGTTCAAAGATAGCTTTCAATTATATATTGTGCAGTAATATGCTTTCTTAGTATTAAAAATTCGAAAGGAAACAAGCAGCGCGTCATAGCCTTGACGGCCCTTCCACGATCATAGATGTCACAAGAAAACTAATAATTATGTATAAATTTACGCCTTAGAGTATACATAGTCTTTGGTCGGTAGCTTCAATGAAGATATTTCTTTGAGGTGGATTTTCAGTAGTCTACATTATGTGATAACGTCTTTTGTTTATCAATTTGTATCTGAGTGTTGTAAGTACATAAAAAGCAAAATGATTTTGGAATAAGGATCAAAGCAAAAGTAACAGTAATATTAGATGCATCAATTTTTATTACTCCATAATACTTTTTTATCAAGTACACCGCATTCGATTTGATGTCTTAGTTAGCTTAAATTATTGTTTGCAAAGTGCACATACTGTATCAATCGAATATTTATGTACCTTTCTGCTTTACCTTTAACGTTGAACAAATTATTGAAGATCAAAACTATAAGTACAAGTTAAATTTAGTTAAAAAATTACCACCTGCTAGTCCGTACAAACAGTACCAAATACAATAATAAGGCTTTACTCTATACGCATAGAATTCCCCAAGCGCCAAAGCACTTAAGCTCTTTTCCTGTGGTTAATATAGAATATAAACGGCCTCTTCGCTTTTAAAAACATTTATTCGAGATTTCCCGTTTCAAAGTTAAAATTATTCTATAGCTCATCTGTACTTTCTGGCGTAAAACAAAAAAGCGACACTATACATGTAAAGTCAAGCCGAAGAATGATTGACTTCTTACTTGATTTCTTCTATATCGCGTGTCAGTACTGACGCGTTCAATGAGCATGACGTTTAAATTTTACCACCTTTTACTGCGCAGCTTTGCTTATAATATATTTATAATTGCTCGTTTATGACCAGCTCGTGTTTTTGTTTCACGTTTATTTTTCCTATAATCTGTCTTTGGAATGAAGCACTGACCCATTTGTAAGTACGTCATGTCATTGATCGACCGCTCTCATTTGGGTGTTTGTATGGAATCTAAAGCTAATGATTTGAAGGTGTGTGTACCATTTTTTTACAATTAAATGACAGTTCAGTGATTTAATGAGAATGTGGCCTTTTCTCTGGTAAGGAAAAACCAAAAAAACGAAAGTATGATATTCACCGCAAGCTCAAAACAAGCACCAAAATACCTACTCATTTTATGTGCTGCACATACTGAACGAAACTGAAGGAAATATCATTCGTTACGTTTCTGATGTTTAAAAAAATACTTTTGTATACTACACTATTGTAGTTTATCCAGATGTTAATTTTTATGTATGAAAGACGTGGGTTATAAATAATTTTTGAAAAATAAATTACAGAAGTGCAAGTGGTTCAAGTGGATCATCATTATTTATTATGAAAAACTTCAACAAAGTGACCCATAGATTTTAGAATAAACAAAATTTTTACTTTTCAAGCGGTTTTCTAAAATTTAAGAAAATCCTCATATTTTTTATTTTCCTACCTTAACTTTTTTGATAGTTCTCTACGTACAACAACAAATGTTCCATAAAATAAAATAACGTAGGTGCCAGAGATTTAAAATATTAATACTTAAATATGAAATAAATAATATATCAAGCCATTTTCAACATCATGACTACCACCACCACACTGGAACAATCCAATTTTGGAGCTCAGTGCTCCAACCAATCACAACCCTACAGATAGGCCCACGTATCTACTCGTAGCAAATATGAGCTACTTTTACTCCTATACCCTTTCAATATAACGGCCAATCTTCTAAAACTCGTGTTCTAGCGCCTTTTTTTCCCTGCGACCGCAAGTTTTGGATATATTTGGCCTCTTCTGCTATTGTTTTTATGAGTGTTCTAGCTATGTATTGATCTCGAGTTTGTCATACGTATATAAGCTGACTAAGAACTGATTTTTTCTGTATATGGTTCATTGTATATGTTTAAGTAAATCTGGTCCAATCACGTTTGTTGATTAAACTCTCGAGCTCACGCCCAATAACAGCATATTTAAATTGAAACTACTTCATCGTAAGTTCGAGGGTCTTATGTACGTTGGATCTCCTGATCGTAACAAAGATTTTATTGAAGGTAGATCTTTACAGCTTTTTGGAAATTTGTTTAAAAATTTTTGTTTGAATGTTGCAAATGTGGGAAATTTTCAAACTGATGACTCAAAAGTGGTAATTGATGCAGTTGAGCCTGTAAGAAAAAATTTTTAGGTACGAATCGGAAATGCATAATTAATGTGTCAGTTGAGAAATAATATTGAGAAAGCATTTAAATCCAACCAGCTTGATAAAATAAGGTGTGTAAAAAATATTGTATCCATGGCTTTTTCTTATATGCTGGAGTATGTCAAGTTGAGAGAATTTTTGATAAATGTTAAAAAAAAACATCCTCGTAAATTACACTTCTAAATAAAAATATAACACTAATATACGTAATAACTTAAATAGTCCAAGGAAGTTTCTAGCAAGACTTAATTTTATAATATTTTAAATGGATATTATTTGTTATTTGTTAAGTAAATATTATATTATGTGTGATAATTAAATTAAAAATTTGGCTACAGTAATAAGTATTGCTAGTTATGAACTTGTAAACGAAGAAAAAAAGGGCAAAAATAGACATAAAATATATTCTTGAATACTGTCATTTTTTTCATGTATGTAATAAATCAAATAAAAACTAAAAATGGCTTTGATTATTAATCTTGTACTTATTTCTCAACTAACTTGTTGAATAAAAATCTAATTCTTTTTACTAATTTTTAAAAAAATTTTAATGTTTACTTTGTTTGAGTACAAGAAGTAATTAGATATGATATTTCTGTCTTTATTGAAACAGTCAGTATAAGGTGTTGTTTTTTTTGTGATTTACGCTACGTTTCATGCAATTGCTAAATAAGTCGGTATTTTCTACATCAATGAAAGATTAAACTTTTTCAGAACAAAAAATTACACTATTTTAAGTAATGCAAATTTATTCAAAATCGGTTAATTTTGTCAGTATAAATGAAAAAAACATAAAAATGTAAAATGTAAGTATGAAAACAATACAAATGCTATTGTTGAAGTTTTTATGACTTATTACGTATTTGATTACTTTGAGGCTTGTAAAAAATTAAAACAGATAAATAATACTAAGAATACCCTTTCTTTTAAAACCTGATTTTTAATGAAATCACCAACGTTGACATAATACTGGTTAATCATACATTTAAAAAATATTTAACAGAGTGTGCTCATATAATCAGCTAAATAAACTCATACTTAATTTGATACAGATATGCTTATAATAATGAATATTAATTTTTTTAACTGATATCGAAACGAACACATTCATTTCTTTTGAATTGAGCACATATTTTAATTTGCATCACTGATAAATTCGTTTCTCGCGTGAATATAAAAAATACAGATAACATTCGATTTTTTGCTAAAATTAGTGAGACTTGCAGAACGAGACGTGCATCATACAGCTGAACCACATGAATTTAATATTGAAAAAATAAGAAACTTTAGCGTACATCACATTTTTTTGTAACGTAATTCAACGCAATGGCACGTTGGCTTCTAATTTTATTTATCGTATTTGTGGCTGTAGTCAGTCCAGCTTTTGGGTTTTTCCCTGGGTTTGAAAATATACTCAATAGTTTAAAAAATATTTTTGGATCTACGGTCGGCATTGGTAAATTTTTGAAGCAATCGGTTCAATTTTCATTTCACGAAGTACGAGATAACACACCAAAAAATGGAGGAGAGTACGATTTCATCATTGTTGGGGCTGGCAGTGCTGGTGCCACCATAGCTTCGAGACTAAGTGAAATTCCAGATTTAAAAGTTCTACTAATAGAAGCGGGTGGCCATGAAAAATTATTCATGGACGTGCCGCTATCGGCTTTGTACTTACAGCTCGACAAAAATGTCAATTGGGATTACAAAACTGAGCCTTCAAATGATTACTGCCTCGGAATAAAAAATCGACAATGTAAGGTAGCAATGGGAAGAGTACTGGGAGGAACGAGTACAATAAATGTCATGATAGCTGTCCGAGGTAACGTATGATTTGATATGATTTTAACTAAACATCAAAAATAAATTATATACTCGTTTTCATAGGTAACAAACACGATTACAACGAATGGGCTGAATTGACGGGTGACAATAGCTGGTCTTACGAAGGAATGCTGCCATATTTTAAAAAAATGGAGAATTTTAACAACGACTGGATCGAATACAATCGCTCCTATCATGGTTCGGGTGGTCCAGTTCATATAACGCATCCAAACTACCGTAGCGTATTAGCTGAAGCTTTTATTGAGGCTGGCAAGGAAATTGGATTTTCTTCAGGTGACTACAACGGACCAACGCAAACAGGATTTCATTACATGCAAACTAATCAAATAAATGGTGAAAGGATGAGCAGCAATCGAGCCTACTTACATCCAGCTAAAAATAGAAAAAACTTGATAGTCAGCATAAACAGTCACGTGAACAAAGTCTTGATTGACCCTCAGACGAAAACAGCCTATGGTGTGGAATTCACTAAACATGGAAGAAAGATCAAAGTTACAGCGAAGAAAGAAGTTATTCTGTCAGCTGGTGCCATAGCTTCTCCAAAGTTACTTATGCTTTCTGGGATTGGGCCTAAGGAACACTTGGAAACATTTGGTATTAATGTCTTGCAAGACTTACCAGTAGGTAAGAATCTCATGGATCATGTGGGTAATACTGCACTATTTTGCACCATTAATGAAACTGTTGGAATTGTTACGACTGAGTTTTTAAAACCAAAAAATCCAGCGATATCAGATTATTTCAATAAAAGAATGGGCCCATTCACGACCTTAAGTGGAGCAGAAAGTATAGCACTTGTTAATGTAGAAAATTTAAAGGATGAAACTGACAGTCCTAACGTGGAGATAGTATTTGCCTCTACTAGTTTTGTATCTGATCCATTGCTTCACACCATTTTTGGAGTACATAATAAATATTGGACTGATTACTTCGCTGATAAGTTCGGCCGTCATTCTTGGTTGATATGGCCAATACTGCTTAAGCCAAAGAGTCGTGGCAAAATATTGTTGCGAAGTACAAATCCAAAAGATAAGCCAAGAATCATACCTAATTACTTCTCTGATCCAGATGATGTTCGCATTTCGATAAAAGGGATACGATTAGCAATCGAATTAAGCAAGACTAGAGCCATGCAACGATATGGTTCACAACTAAATGATCGAGTAGTTCCTGGTTGCGAGAAATACGAACCTAATTCGGATGCTTACTGGGAATGCGCTTTGAGGACATATACACTGACTTTCTGGCATCACTCGGGCACTTGTAAAATGGGACATGAGAATGATACATCTTCTGTTGTTAACACAAAATTACAAGTAAGCTGTCAAATTGTAAAAGCTTTTATTTTTGTCCAATGTCAAGTTGTATTTTCACGTTTATTGATTACAGGTGAAAGGTATAAAAAATCTAAGAGTTGCGGATAACTCTATAATGCCCAATATCGTCAGAGCTCATACCAATATTCCAGCAATAGCAATTGGTGAAAAGATTTCGGATATCATAAAACTCAATTACGGTTACAAATGAAACTAATAGTTCACAAAAATGTAACGCAATAAAAAAGTAAATGAAAAATGTAAATTAATAATAACATTACTATCTGAAGAAGTCATTGGGTGTTATACATATATGGTTTTGAAAAGTACATAACAAACACATTTAATGCAAGATATTCGTACTTCCATGGTAAAAATTTTGTTGCATGGTTTAAGATTTGTTTTAATTTTATTCATTATTTCCCACTCTTTATGTAAAATCCATAATTTTCTGGGAATGTCGTAAGTACTCTATGGGGATGGCGACCTAACAAACTAATCTCAGATGGCGCAACCAGTACTTAGACTCTAGCCAATGAAATGTGAAAACGGTTTATGCACTGTACACTGCAGACTACATGTGTATGTATACTTTCGTGCATAATTCGTTCTCACATCTCATTGGCTAGAGCCTTAGTACCAGTAGTGCCATCTAAGAATAGTTTGCTAAGTCATGAAATCTTGAGGAATCATTTATAAGTTACAATCCTCAAAATTTTAGAGTAGGCTGCCGAATGTAAACGCAAAAAAATGATAAATGAAAAATAAATTTCAAACATAAACTCTTATGGCAACTAATAATTCTTTTACTGAAAGTTGTAGTCTAGTTATTTATTTACTAAACATAATTAAGTAAAAAACTGATGCAATAAAACTTGCACAATACTGAACATACTACCATCGTGAAATATGTATGTTTACGGACTTTATGAAAAGAATTAAAAGAAAATAAAAAGCATAGGCAAGCATCAACTGCTGGTATTTTGAGGTTAAGTGCAAATTGTACATAATCATTCCTACAAACTTTCATATCGGATATCATGGTCTACAATTTTGAATCAGTACTTAATTTGACTCAATAAACGATATTTACAAAAATTCGTTTGAAATTCAAGCAGAATTTATTAGTATTAACTTGATAATAGTCGCACCTTTGACTTGGGAGTCATGAAAGAACCACCTCAAGTGCGTGCACATGTGAGAGAAGAGGGGAAAGGGGCACATCCAATCAAAAGTTTCTTTGGAATATATAAGTACAATTTTTGCCAGATTTTCTTGGGAGGATTTTACTTTTTATATATAAAAGTAAAAAGCTCGGTAAAAAGAGACCAGAAAAAATAACTCATAATGATAAATAATGCTTACTGCCAATTTAAGAGTAACACTATTCATTTTTTATTACGTAACAGCACCAAAGCCTTTGATATTTTGTGACATGTTGTCGGTGATTTATTATTTTGGAATAATCAATTTTAAGCAATTGAATATGCAAATAAATTGAAGCATTTTTTGCACAGTATAAATTTATATATTTGTTCTTATTTTTACTTATTTGTATTAAACAATTTAAGTTACGGTATTTGATCAACTGATTCTAAAATAAAAGTTTGGACAACTGATTGTGTTATGAGTTTAGCTTTGTACTCGGAGTAGTAATCTTCAAGGTCGAAACATTATTCATAAAGTACTTATTGCATAAGATATGTTTTAATTTTATTATTAGAAAAATGTACTGTGATATGGATGAATTATTATCTAAAATTATATCTTCAGAACTTGCTGTTTTATCTATAATTTTTGTAGGTACGTTTAAAATAATATTGTAGTATACTGTTTTTACAATATAAAATGGTATATTTATTCTTATACGGTGTACCACTCTTTCAAAAAATTTCATAAAAAGCTACCATGTACAGAATATCATCTTTTATCAAAATTGAATAAACATCACAGATGTTCTTTAGTGTACAATTTTTTTGTTTTCAATAAAGGTATGAATAACGAGCTAAATTAAAATTATTGTATAGCAGAAAATCTGACGACTATAATAAAATATTTTGTACCAAAATATCTGAATTAGTTTAAAAGATTCATGATGTGACCAGAAAAAAGTGTCATGTTGTTGTACATAATCTTGAATAGAAAAGGTCTGTCGACAGGAAGTTCAACGGGCGGTGGTGAAAAAGATATACTGCGTGCAGACAACGTCATTACTGAAACAAAATCCCAATTATATTAGCCAAAAAAAAATAAAAAATATCCATAGTAACGATTTCCAAAGCATTTTTAATGATTTTAAATCTTAAAATAAATTAAGTGACATAATTCCAAGAAGATTCTCGTAGAAATGTTGTAGAAATCTTAGAGACTTTGAGATTTTGCCAACATACATATTTTTAAGATTTAGAATTGTGTATCTATGTGTCAACAAGATAATTTACACCATTTCCTGGAGATTTTATCTTTTTGGTACTATTAAACAAATTATTATTTCTTTTCTGAGTAGCTAATTTTATGATTAGATAACAAGTATATTTGGAACAACAACATATCACATCTGATTTCAGTGCAACAGCCTCTCGTAAGAACACATGTTGAGAATGAATTCACTGAGTGACTTGTTTTTACAATTTTTTCATTTCATGGGACCGAAGATAATAGAAAAAAATTAGCTTTATCTTTAATCAAAACCTCGCCAACTTCACTTTCGACTTAAAGTGTTTGAAAAAGTAATGACTCAAGTGGTAAAGCTATCAAATTATTTATAATTTTCAATCAGTTATTTGAAATATCAATTCCACGTTTACCACCTGAATTCTCATTTCTCAATTTTATCATCAGCAATCCCTACACCCATTGCACTATTGAAGTGTTTAAATTTTGTGATGAACCATAAAGAAAAAAACATAAGTCCTGTCTACCTTTGATTTCAAAGATGCTACAGTGGAGACAGATACTTTTTTCATCCTTATGCATATTGCAAAAATATTTCATTTTTAAGTTAAAAACGCACATTGTTGGTTCAAAAACATAATTAAAAAACAACAAAAATGCATAGCATTAAAAAAACTATATCTCACTTGTAACTTCTGCTGCTTCACTGCCTTTTTCATTAACTTCGTTGAAAGCTTTTTGTATTACTTGCGAAACATAAATTTTTTCGTCACATATACCATTGAAATTGGCTTTTTCGGTAAATATGTCGCTCATACCTAACTGTGAAGCCAGATACTTATGACTATTAAAAAAGTTATTATTAAATTAAATGTAAATAAAAATAAATGAAAAAAAAGTTAATTATTCGATTTTAAACTTTGGCAAAGAAAGATTAACTTTTTGATACTTCTAAAATTCTTATAGTCAAGGTCTGCTGTCTCAAGATTTCTTTCAACTTTTTCCAAAAGAATTTTTATGTAGAAGTAGTTCAGACGTAATAAATGTTGGACAGAACAATTCAAAGAAAATTTCAGTAATGCTAACCTGACTGTACGATATTTTTGATTTTTTCATTTGTTTTTTTTATGCACCAACTATTGATTACTTCGGCAGGCTCTTCAGTTTTATTAAAATCGATTGTGTCACTTTCTGACCGAAAGTATGTGCCAGTGATTTTCTTAAAATTTTGTCTCATTCCAAGATTGTAGGCAACATGAATTTTGTTGAAAATTTTAAGTCGACTTTTTGTGTAATCTGTCATCAATAAAATACAGTCAATGATTAATTACATGGAACTGCCATACTTAGATATTATTTAAAAATTAGTGATGGATATTCCAGTAAAATTTTAATGTTTTCTCAAGTACCGTAATTGTATTTTGTATTAATTTTTATTTTAAAAAATCAACGAGTATTTTGCATTTTANNNAATGAGGGAAGCGACAATCGAATTTTAACAGAATTTATGTCGGCCAGTGATATAAAATTTAATTTTGAGGAGAATGAAAAAAAAAACAATATTTTTTCTTGTATTATTAAGTTATTTCTTACATTATTATTTCGAAAGATAAAAAATCATACAAATGTAACACATCGAAAGCAAAACAAGAATTTTTAAAGCCACAATTAATTTTATTGATAAACTAAGAGTGCTCGAAATCAAATTCTCTTATGTTCATGACTCGTCTACAGTGCAACTAATTATTACAGAAAAGAAAAATTATTTTTCAAATAATTTCAAAACTTATATTTTCAATATAATTCTAAAAAAAATACAAAAACTAATTGACTTAAAAAACATTTAGATTTTTTTTTCATACAATTGTCCTCGTTGACTCAACAAAAATTTAATTGTTTTGTAAATTTAACATATGTAATGTCCAACTTAAATGATAACAAACAATGACTCACATTGATCATATCAACTAGAATTTAAAATCCCAGGCAAGCGTGGGAGTCATCCTCAAGCAAAAAAAGAGTCTGGCGCATTTGCTGAGCGGAGGATCCATCGAGCCATTGCCAAAACCATATATTAAAAACCAAAAATCGTCTCCATAGCCCCCAATCGATACTGTTGTTACAAAGACACTATGAGGTACGTGTGTAATTTTTGTTTAATCATTTCATATTTTCATCTTTGAGTATGGAAGAGTTAAACATATGACACCACATAGCAATAATATATCTATATATGTGAGCAGTGGGAAAACATTTTGTTGGGCGCCCGACGATTTTTACTGTGTGCGTCACCGTAAAAATTGATTAAGTTAAGTCAAAACGTTCGGTAATGTCACTTTCTCTCACGATTACCATTTCGACGGTAATTTTCATAGGGAAAATCACGGTAAAATTTATTTGTTTTTTCCTCTCAGGGTACCGAGGATTTCGAACATGGCCATCACCAGGCACATGACGATTTGTCATTTAAAGAATAAAGGATTTGAATTTCAAACATTGTTTAATTTTCTTATCACATTCAAATTTTTTTGTAGATATTTCAAGCCACTAAACTTTATTACATATTGCTTGAATTTAAAAACACAATTTTTTCAGCTGAAGAGAAGTGCGTGACAAGATCGGAAAAATTGGAAAATTAAAATTAGATAATATCGGTCACTTTAATGTATACATGATAGTGAAAGCACTTATGTCATAAGCTTTTTTCATTTTTACTGACATTAGTTTCTCTCCATACAAATTTTTTTCGATAAAAGCGGTGCCATACAATATTCGGTTAATGGTGTCTTAAAAGATGATGTAAACAATTCATTTCGGATGTAACAGAAAAAGCAACGGTCACAGTATACATTCCCATTAACGTATATTTTTTTTTTTTCATTACGAACTTTTACCTCAGGTCGACTTGTACATTTATAAGATATTTTGTATACACCATAAGTACTGGTTACAATGCAATATTTCTCTTAATGTCTTACTGCCATTAAATTAGTGAATCATCTATAACAATCACTTGACATGGGCACTGTTTGAACTTTAAAAATTTTTAAATTATAATTGACCATAACATTGCTATGGAGGAACCTAAATCTAACAGCTTCTCTTGAGAATTTAGTTTTTTTTTTTCTGGTATCACTACACCATTCAAGGACTTTTTACTTTTTACAATTCTAATTATTTTAAAGGATTTGTGATATGACCAGAAAAAAGTGTTGAATTTTTATACATAATCTTGTAAAAAAAAGGTCGGTCCACAATAAATTCAATGGGCGGTGGAGATGGAAGTTCAATTCTAGCACAGCAAAAAATTAACCCAATTTCTGAAACATGAATTCAAATGATATTAACGGAACAAATCGCTTAAATATTGATTAAGTATATGTGATGATCTTAAAATGAAATTTTCCTAATAACTATGTAATCAGTATTTAAAGGCGAGCTTTCATTGAATGAAAAAAGCTTTAGCGTAAGCTTATTGTATCAATTAATGTCACAAAAATGAATGTTATTATCTAGGTTGAAGACAAATTGAGTCTTAATAAATTATGTATTTTATAAGAAGCTGTTACCTTTTAGTCAGTACAATAACACAGAAAATTTCACAAGTGGAACTCAAACCAATACTAGTTACAAAGATTTTTAATATAATTTGTAAATTTCAAATTCCAAAGACCCTTTAAATTAATTCTAGCAAGATGATAGTACAAAATTAATTATGCGAAAATATGAACTTAAAAGAGTCAAAAATGATCTTTTCGATTATTTAAAGAAAGATGGATTAAAATACGGACGGATGAAAATAACTGATTTTGCTTACCAGTGACTGCAGCAGCTTCGCTGCCTTCTTCGTTAATTTCGATAAAAGCTTTTTGTATTACTTTGTCAATACGAACTTTTTTATCACAAATACCTTTAAAATTTGCTTGATTCGTAAATACATTGCTTATTCCTAACTAAAAAATAAACTAATCTTACTGCCCAGGTTCGTATTTAAATTTGATATAAAGATTTCATAGATTGTTGTTGTACCTCAATTAAGTGGTCTTTCAGGTCTAGCGTTGATTCAATTTTAAATTTTGGCAACGATACCCTTACTCTTGTAACATCAGTGGAACACCATGAGTCAAAATTTACTTTCTCGAGATTTTTCTCAAGCTTTTCCAAACCATCAATTTTGTTGGGTACTATGATTACCATGTGAAAATCTTTATTCTTGAAACAAAAAAAAACAAAAATGATTCTTTAATTTTCGTTAAAAAAATTATTTACGTCATTTAATAAGTATTTATCTACCATATAAGGAAGAGCAATCACTTTAGCATCAACTCCGTCTAATTCTTTGTAGAAAAATTGTTTGCACACATACATCATAGGAAGATTGATGATAGTGTCCTTGTCAATATGAAAAGATTTATTTTCTTTCCATTGTGGATCAAATTTATGTAACCAGTCTCCTTTGAAATACACGGCATTCAAAAGTATCATTTCCACGGTGTTGTCAAGATCATCTAAGAATTTTCATTACAATAAGTGAACAACAGTAAAAAAAAGTGTTGACCAAGAGATTTTGAAAGTATCACCGTAATGCCAACCTGAGTTCACGATTTTCTTAATTTTTCCATTTGTTTTTTCAACGCACCAACCGTTAATTGCTTTGGCAGACTCTACTCCCATTTTAAAATCGATCGTCTCACTTTTCGATCGAAAATACGTGTCAGTAATATTTCTAAAATCATCTTTGATACCAAGATCATCAGCAACATAAATTTTGTTAGCAACTTTCAGGTCAACTTGTTGCGTCTCCTGTTGAAATAGAATACGATTAATTAGTATCAGCTAAAGATAACTCTGATGTTAAAAAAAAAAATTTTTTTAAAGTACACATATTTACGTACAGAAATAAAAACCTTTGAAAAATTTTATACATCATTCGAAATTTATATCATGAGTGTATCTGTGTGTAAGCTTTTATCTTTGTTTTTAGCTTTGTAAAATTTTTCATTATTTTTTTTAATTTTTAGGAAATCGCTAAATGATTTTTTATAACATATAAATTGTCGATGAAAATTAACTGTACATGTTGACTACAAAAAGTTATTGTTATAATACAAGACACTTGCGTAAGGCATTTGAAGACAAAAATCAATTATGAATGGAAGCTAAAGTCTCTTTTTAAAATTCGTACTAGCTTGATTGCAACATTTCCAACATATTAGTTAGTTACTACTATTAAATTAAACATATTCGTGTATAGCTTTCATAACTACACAGTCATTTTAATCGAATCAGGAAGCAAATTAATTAAAATCGACATGATCTCAGAATTTTTAATAGTCAGAGCAATTAAACGCTGTTGAATTAAATTTTGAAATTTTTAATAAAAGTGAATTTTTTTTGACTTTTTTCCAAATATTCGTACAGGTTTCCTCTTTTCTATGTAATAGTATTGTTGGGACTGAGAGCCTTTGAATTATCATCGAAGTCTAAGTCATGGACATTGATATAATTTGTAAAAACCACTATTATTACCAAAGAAGACTTACATTCATCATATCAACTAGGCTTTGAAATCCCAGATGGGCATCGGCGTCATCCTCAGGCAAGTGGAGGTTTTTGCGCATTTGCTGAGCGGAGGATCCATCGGCGCCGTATGCAGCCATTGCCATAACCATATGGGCGCTTAAGCCCGAGCTCACAAAGTTTCCTGATTCCTTTCCGGCTAGGCTCTAAATTTTTCAATAAAATGCAATAAGTTAAGTACCTACAAATAATACAATTGTGCAGACTTTTAAGGTTTCCTGATTTCTTACAATAGATCGCTAGACTTTCTTTTATTGATTTATTTACGTACGATGACTCTGTGGCCATTATCTGGGAAAGTCCACCGTTTGTCTTAAAAATGGGATGAGTAATTTTAAAAATTTTTGGACTTATCTTACAGAAATTGCCTGAGTGAAAAATTACAATTAATTTTGTACTACAAGAATTGTTGTTATTAAATATTTTTTATAAGTGAAAGTATTTTCAATTTTTTATCATAAATTAAAAACGTTAAAAAAAGTAATGTGTATAAAGAAGACACTCAAAGATTTTCTGATAAGATGTGAAAGTATTCCTATACATTATTGAATATATTGAGTAGATAGAATTTTAAAAAAATTATTCATAAAGCGGTACAAAATGAATTTATAAATCTTATGAAATACATGAAGATGAGCCACTAACAACAAACCTTGTGGAAATTCGTAATAAATTTCTCAGCTCCTTTGGTCACTTCAACAGATGTTGTTTTTTCTTTGGATGCCATCTCGTCCATAATATTTCTTTTTGTACTCTGATAACGTGCTGCTCACTACTCGTCAGGCAAATGACTCGCTACTCTTAGTTACAAAAGATAGAAATAACCTAATTCAAAATTTTTGGTTTCATATGTCGAGTGGCACGGCTACAAGTATGGCCCGAAGCGAATATGCTTAAGCGTCGTACTGAGGGTGAACTGAACTGTGCAGTGGCGCAGCTCGAGAGTGACGCGTGGGGAGAGAGAACCGCATATGCTAGGTAGTGCTGGGGATATCGTTAATCTACCGGGGAATTTTATTCGGATGAACATTTTACCTTCGGTTTTATATGAAATGTCCTCCTGTATGAGAAAGTACAGTTTACCAAGTGCCAATGTGGTCAAGAATTGTTTGAACAAAGTTTTTATTAAACACATTTGTCGGAGTTTTTTTATTTTGGTCTAAAAAAAAGTATCTTTATATTCCTCGGCACATTTTGAACAAACTAAAAAAAAGTATACACCTAAACCTCACGGTTTTCGACAATGTGGAACTCGTATGGAGGTAAGTGGAGAAACTCTTGTAGAAACTGTGACATTTGGAAATGGCTTGTTTTTATTGCTGTGTAGGCATTTTAACCTAATAGCATTATATAATATTTCTTTTTTTTTCTTACTTTGATGAGTATATTGTCAAACACCGATAAAAGAAGGGTATAAAAATTACTGTGGTAGAGAAATAGTCTCGTATTATTTTAACGTTCAGGGAATTTTTATTTTTCATAAATCTTATTATTTCAAAGGAGTTATGGTATGACCCAGAATAGTGTTAAATTTGTATACATAATATTTAAAAAGAAAAGTTGGTCGACCATTAATGGGATAGCTGGAGGTGATGGTGGTATAAATTCAGCACAGCAAAGTATGCAACTTGTTGCTGAAACAAGAATTTAAATGACATTAACGGAAAAATAAAAAAAATTCTTAAAATGTTGACTAAGTATTTGTAATGATCCTCAACTGAAATTGTCCTAACGTACGTGTTTTAAGAATTTAAAGGCGAATTTTTATTCCATAAAAAAATATCTCAGAGGGCTTATTTCATGAATTAACTTCACAACAATGGGTTTTCTTATCTAGGCTTCAGAGTAATTGTGTCTCGATAAATTATATTTCTCATTATAATCTCTTATCTTCTCCAGAATAATAACACAAAATTTCTCGAGTGAAACTCAAACCTATGGTCGTTATAAAAATGTTTAATATAATTAGTAAACTTTGAATTTCAAACACACTTTTCCGTAAAACTCAATTCAAGTAATATAATACTAAAAAGTCTAACTAGTCCAGATATTATCTGGAAAAGTCAACTATTAGTCTTAAAAATAGGATGAGTAGTTATTAATAATTTTGGATACATATCCTATGGAAATTGCCTAGGGGAAAAATATTGATTTTTTCATCTTGATCAAAAATTGTTTTGATTTAATATTTTTCTACGTGTAAAAGAATTTAGAATTTTTTATTTTTAAATAGTTTTGTAAAAGCTATTGTGTACAAAGAAGACACTCGAAAACAGAATTTTCAATTAATCGATACAAAATGAATTTATAAATCTTATTAAATACATGACGATGAGTCACTGACAACAAACCTTGTGGAAATTTGTAATAAATTTTTCAGCTCCTTTGATCACGTTTACATCTATTGTCTTTTCTTTGGATGCCATCTCCTCTGCTAAATATATTTTTTCGCTCATTACAACAATCTGCCCAAGTATGAGACTGACACTTGACTTACCGTTAATAAAGTTGCCAGAAATTATCCTGGCTTACATGCGCTTAGGTGGGTATAGGTGTCGTCACCAGATAGGCTGGGGATCTTATACCTATCATTTGTTTCGTAGACTAACTGATTATACAAATTTCCTGAATAAATACTTATAATTTTGAGATACTAGGGGGCTCTTTCTTTTGTGTGTTTTGTGTGCCAATATTTTTCTAGGTTTATTGCTTTATAGTATAACAGGAAAATCACAATTTATAATTTGTAAAAACCACTATTATTACCAAAGAAGACTTACATTCATCATATCAACTCCTCCAGTGCGTGCACATGTGAGAGAAGAGGGGAAAGGGGCACATCCAATCAAAAGTTTCTTTGGAATATATAAGTACAATTTTTGCCAGATTTTCTTGGGAGGATTTTACTTTTTATATATAAAAGTAAAAAGCTCGGTAAAAAGAGNTAAATTTAGTGTTAAATCAATGATTTTAATAGGTGACCTTAACTACTAAAAGAGATCTAATAATGTTGCCAAATAAAACAAGCAGCGAGGTATGTGCCAATTTTTTACGAGACCAGTGCAAAGGCTGATGGAATCATTTACATTTTGATTTATGTTACATTGATATTAGACAATTTTGTTTGTACGATTTACCAATGTACATAATATATGAACAATATTAGTTCAGGTATCAGGAATAATAAATCAAAATTCAGGAATGATAAATAACCAACTTATTTCTGTTATTTCGTTGTACGTTTATTCATGCAAAGTTTTATAGTCCTTAAAACACCAGAAGTTTACCTCTCTTGCTTCTCAACAATAATAATTATTACACAAATTAACAACAACATTCCTCGAAAAAAATCATTGCAATAAAAAATGCAACACAATGCATTTGATGATATTGTTGTTGTATGTTAATCCTAAGGTTTGATTGTGATATTAGTCATTATTGCAAGGAAAGTAAAAATCCTAGATTAGATTAGAGGATTAACGACATGACCAGAAAAAAGTGTTAAATTTTTATACATTATCTTGAAAAGGAAAGGTCTGTCGACAGTAAACTCAATATGTTCTGGTGGCTTACATATTACTACCTTACCACTTCCAGCTGCAAAAATAAAATTTCAAACGGCATTAGCAGCAATAATAACAAAATTTTCAAAATAACTATTGCTATGTATTTCTGATGATCATGAATTTTAAAATGTAAAAGTAAAAATGTTTTAAAACCAAAGACCATTATTTATTAAATCAAAAACGACTAATAAATTTCTGGAATGTAGTGTTACAAAATTAAATCTTTCGACAGTTTTGTCAGTAAGCATTTTATTTTATCTGATTTCTACTAAATTGTGTCTAAAATAATGGACTGTGGTTTTGTTTTTGAAAAATAATTCATAAAACTTTACAAGTAACTCTGGGAGTTTTCCTAGTTGTAAAGAATTTGAATACTGTTACTAACTTATAAGTATTTATTCCGTAAATTTGCTAGGGTAAACAATATGGTGTAACAGAGAAGTGGGATTATAAACGTTAAAGAGACAAAACGTAAAAAATGGATACAAAAAAAAAAAAATGTTTTTTTAAGTCAGAATTACAATTATGAAAATAAGCTCCAAAAATAAAGACTCGAGTGGTTAAAAACTCTTAAAACAGATAATTTTTTTATACGATCGTTTGTAAATAAAACTTAACAAAAATGTTAAATGTATCTCACCAGTGGTTGCAGCAGCTACGGTGCCTTCTTCTTCAACTTCGATAAAAGATTTTTGTAGTACTTGGGAAATGTGAGCATCCTCGTCACACATACCCTTAAAATTTGCTTTTTTCGTAAATACGTCGCTCATCCCTAACTATAGAACAACGTAGTTAAATTAACTTTGAAAGACCATTTTCAAATTTAATATAAATATGTCGCAGATAGTTAGCATACCTTCTTTAGGTAACCGTTCAGGTCTAGCGTTGATTTAATTTTGAATTTTGGTAACGAAATGTTTAAGAGTTCATGATCTACGATCGATGGATTAAAATATACTTTTTCGAGATTTTTCCCAATTTCTGCGAAGCCTTCAATTTCATCAGGTAGTATGATAACCATGTAAAAATCTTCATTCTATGTAAACAAAAATTTAAGCTTTTAATTACATTTAAAAAAAAATTAATTCAGAAAATTAAATAAATGTATACTATCTACCACATAAGGAAGAGAAACCGCTGTAGCTTTAAAATTTTGTAATTTTCGGTATCGAAAATATTTGCGTATAACACACATCGTAGGAACTTGGATAACAGTACGTCTGTCAATATGAAAAGATCTCTTTTGTGTCATTTCTGGATTAAATTTATGCGACCATTCTCCTTTAAAATACGCGGCATTTAATAGCAACATTCTCATGTCTTCGTCAAGATCATCTGAAAATTTTTATTTATTATAAAAAAAGTTAAAAATTATTTGAAAAGTCGCAGAAATACCAACCAGGCTTCACGATTTCTTTTATATTTCCATTCGTTTTTTCAATGCACCAATCGTTAATTGCTTTGGCAGACTCTACATTCATTTTAAAATCGATTGTCTCACTTATCGATCGAAAATACGTGCCAGTAATTTTTTTGAAATAATTTTTAATATCAAGATGCTTAGCAACATAAATTTTGTTAGCAAAGTTTAGGTCGACTCTTTGCGCTATCTGTTAAAACAGAATACGATAAATTATAAACAGCACTTATCTACTACAAAATCACACATTATCAGACAATGTATACCATAACAATGAACTTGAGGTCAATGTGATATTAGTGAAAAAAATTACAATAAGAAATTATACACACACGGAAGTGTATTGCAGTTGAGAATATTATTGTAAGTTCTTTAATTAATATCATGTGAAAACTTGAATAGTCATCAATATAAAAACGTTAAAAATATTTTTTTTTAATAATATTCGTGACACTCACAAAATCCATATTCTTAATAAATAACATTATTTTTATCAGCTTCATTAGATTATTTTTTATCTTTTAAAACTTCCAGAAAAGCGTTAAATAATTTTTTAATAATTTATACATCATCGATAAAATTAACTAGACTTATTGACTGTGAAAAGTAATATGAACGATTTAAGGTACTGACGTAAGCCATTTGAATACAAAATTCTGTTACAAAAAAAAAATTCTTTTTTTTTGTTAAAAACTCTTAAAAACTTGTTTGTGATATCTACAACATAACTAGTTATTGTTGTAAGAATAAACATCTTCGGGAATAGCTTTGACAAGTACACAGTTATTTTAATCGAATCAGGGAACGAATTAATTAAAAACGACATGATGTCAGAATTTTTGAGAGTCAGAGGAACTGAACGCTGTTCAACTAAATTATGAAATTTCCAATAAAAATTAATTTTTTTCCAAATATTTTTACGTGATTCCTCTTTGTCACGTAAAAGTATTGTTGGTACTGAGAGTCTTTGAATTTTTATCAAAAACTAAGTCATGGACATAGATATAATATTTAAGAGCTACTTTCATTACCAATAGGAACTTACATTGAGCAAGTCAATGAGGCTTTGAAACCCCAGTTGGAATTGCATGTCATCCTTATATTCCTTAGGCAGAAAAAGAGTCTGGCGTATTTGCTGAGCGGAGGTTCCATCGGCACCGTATGCAGCCATTGCCAGAACCATATATGTGCTCAATCCCGAGCTCACGAAATTCCCAGAGTATTCATTGGCTATAATCTAAATTTTTTAATAAAAGACAATTCCTCAATAGACAAATAATACAATTACATACGGATACTTAGGACTGATTAATTTGTCCCTATTGATCGCAAAACGGGGTTTACCGATTTATTATCGTGCAACTGAGTTAACTTTGTATATTTATTTGGATATAATGATGTACATCCTCTGTTATAAAATATTATGAATAGTTTATGTCTACCAATACAGTAGACGATGAAAAAGATGGTAAATACTGAATCAAGCAATTAGAAGACAACTGTTGAATGCAGGCCATGGAAAGCAAAAGCTTATTTAAAAATTATGGTTTTTCTGACTCATCGTAGTTGGTTGATTAAAAATATTCAATAATAAAATACATTTTTACAAGTATGGAAAATATTAATTTCTGAAAAAAAATAGTTTGCTTTGAATTTTTACGAAATATTATGAAATTTCATGAAAACCAAATGTTACTGACAGAGAAGATACGCATAAGTCGTCTGATAAGATATGGAAGGATATAAATACATAAGTAAATATTTGGAAATAAAATTTTTTGTCTAACAAATCGGTGCAAAATAAAGTTGTAAGCCCCATATTAAATGTATTTAGATGGGCAACTAACGACAAACCTTGTGGATGTCCGTGGACAATTTATCAGCTCCCCAAATCACAGTATCTTTAGATGTCATTTTAACTACAATATTTTTTTGTTTCTCCTTTGAAAACGTGTTGTTCACCGTAGTAATCTACCCGAGAAACTAATCGATACATCAGCGATAATGTCGCTGACAACTAACCCCACCTATATGTGTATATGGTGCATACATAGGTGTGCCAGTAATGCGCGTTTAGATGTTGTAATTCATCGTAGGGAGGTGACAATCTATAAAATAACTATGACAGATAGTATTAGATTTCCTATTCCTCAATATGGCCTGTAGCGGTTAAAATTTTAGGGACACATCGATGCTTCCTACTTAAAATGTGCTCAACGATACTTTCAAATAAAAGAATTATACTTAAAAAAATATGGAAAGTAATGTCGTACAACGTTCCCAATGTCTTTACATTAATATTCTTATCACCAAATATGGACGGAAATTCTAACCGAATAACTGCAGTTCTGCGATTTATTTATTCAACTTAAATAAAATCGTCTATAGGTATGACCTAATCTTTTAATTAGTAGTACTATTTTTCAAATTTTATATTTCCGAGGTTAACAGTTCAGAACTGAGGGGCTGATAAGCTTAGTAAGTAGCATTAGATTTTTGAAAGCCTTCAAACCCTTTTTTACGTCGAAAATTAAATTTCTCCTTTGTAGTCAAGCAGTTAGGCCCCTCAGGGCACTTCTTACCCTCGCTCCATTGTACATAACGTACGTGTTGCTGATGTATGAGCGATGTGACGTGGTAATTTGAAAAGCTTGAAAACTATAGTCATGAAATTAGGCGTGGTTTGGGGCACCATCCAATCGCATGGCTCCAACAAACTAATCGACGGCTTTGTCAGTTGGGTGACGTGTGGAAAGTTGTAATGAGTGCGAAGGAGACAGTGACATCGAGTCGTCTCACTAACGATAATTGATAAATTTCCACTTATAACCGGCATCGCCGAAAATAGCTTTGGGAGCCCAATCGAACTTCCAGTTGGCATCAGTAAATCTTTGAAAGCCTTCGAAGCCACGTCGACGTCAACTATCAAACTCCTGCGTCGTCGAATATCTTTCGACTTGGACGAAAAGTAAGTACACGTTTGGAATTTTTGAATTTTTTTCAAGCATTAACCTACGTTTATCTTGCTTTTTTCCTCAGTGCTGCTGGTGAAAAAACCAGAAATTCTACGCGTCAAGCGTTGCCTGTTGAACGTGCTTAAATTTCAAGATGGACGCTAGAACCTCCACGGAATAATGGTAAGTGGCTCGTTTTTTCGCCAAATTTACCACTAATTCTAAGTTTATGTTGGAAGTTGAACTTGCTTGGTATAATAAAAAAAGTGCGTATATGTACATTTATTATTATTCAAAGAAACATTAAGTCGAGAAAGAAAAAGTAGTTTTGGAATACGGTGGCACATGTCGCCAAGGCAAGTCCTGGAACATAGTAACCCCTTGGGTTTGTCCTGGTTTTTTTCAACATTTCGACGTTTACCGTATTTTTGGTAGGAAAATAAGGTTCACGACCAACACGTGTGCGGCCAGAGCGATCACAAAGGTCTCTCTGGCGTTTCTTCGTGGCCGCCCTCGGTAGTCTTGACTCTGGGGGGTCGTCCCGTCGGCAATATAAAATAAGTTGATAAAAGCTATGCTTTTTTAATTTTTTGGCAACGAATAAAAGTTTGCTGATTTTGGGTTTTGTTTGGAGTGCGATTGTTTAAACAAACAGTAAAAATCGATTTCGAAAAGATTTTTTCGTAAAATACGGCTCGAACATACAAGAAAGAAAATCAATACCCTAAATTAAAATTTTTTTATTTTTATTTTTCAAAAGTTAGCAACAAATTTATATTTTTTCTATTTTTTAAACTTGCTATACTTTCTTTATTATTAAATAAAAAATTATAAAACAAATAATATAGATTAATGTATAGTAGCAGAAGTGTCAAAACAATTTTTTCACGCTGAAAAAATTAATTAAGTAATACACAATAAATTTGGCAATAAAGATTAACTCAAGTAGTTTTTTAAATAATTTTTTAATCATTTAATTCTTTGTCA